GCTTGATATTTTTTTCATGCACACTGATAAGACTTTGACTCATGAAGTTCAGACGTAACAACCCAGCTGCTAATCCGCCCGGATCCCAGACCCATTCTTTGTGAGGAAATCAATCTCTAAGGTGGATGCCGAGGCCAAGTCCAATGCCAATGCCGAGGTCAATGCCAAGAACATTCAGATTGAGTCCGATTTTGGAAAGAATATTGAGGTTAAGAACCCCGTGGAGGAGCGTCGACAAGTTGAGCTGGATGCTTGCTGCGAAAGAACCGACTGTGCTAAAGTAGCTCTCAAATCCTTGCCAACAGGCTAGAGAAGTTTGGAAAGTTTAGCTAGATATAATCCAGTAGAACATTCAACATAACTAACATTGAAAGAGGCCTAGTGAAGCACTGAAGCGTAGATTGACGGTATCGACAACAGCCTGGAACTGAGTGAACAGCGCGATGACCATTTGATGGAAGCCCTCCTGTCACACGTTGTGGGTAAGCAACATGCTTTAATTTGGCACCACTTCGAATGCTCGTGCGCGCATTCATGAAAATCAACGTACGTCTTGACCAAGACCAGTGCATCTGCATTGTTGGAAGTCGGGAAATTGAGCCTGGATTGTTTGGACTGTCGTAGTAATGGTCGTGACCGCAGCTTGTGCTTGGCTTACAGTGCTTATCTGACCGTTACAATTTTGGATAGCTGTCGTCGAGCTTTGAAAATATGCAGTGACTGTCTGAACTGTTGTGGTCTGTGTGATGGAACTGGCTTGCGTGACTGCAAGCTGTTGGTCACTATGAGATACGGTAGATAAAAGAATCAGCCTCTTCACAAAAATCGGGATATTGAGAGAATAAGGAGTAATTGACTATCACCTACCCGAACGGTAAAACAGTAGCCCTGACAGTTACTAGAGATGGAATAAACGCAAAGCAAAAGATGAGTGTTCAGTCTAACCGGAAGACGAGAATTGAAGATAGCAAAAAGGAAAAATATAATGAGACATGTACCAGCCAAGGCCAGTGCAGCAGAAACCCAGGATAGATTCATAGTGCAAAGTTTTGATAAGGTATAGCAAACTATTCTTTCAAGGCAATCAAATATAATTGGATATGGAAAGCTCGACGTAGAAGAGATGCGCTGGGGAGGATGCTGTATTCGAAGCTCGAAAAGAGTCGTGCTTTTATATTGTCAATCTCAAGACAGGCAAGGAGGCACCGCCATACGAAAGACGGGCGAACCGCGCCCATCTTTGTTAGGTTCTCTCTGCCTGAGAGGGATCAATAAAATTGTTCTATCGCCCGATGTCAAGGATCTACATTTCATCAAAGTTGAACAAAGGGTTTGGACAAATTTCCGAGGACAGATTCGAGATTGATGCTCAAATCCCGAGGTTGGATGGGTCAAATCCGAGCAGTCTCATAGCCTCATCAACACTGTACCCTATGTTTCTATGTTCTTGTACATCAGAAATTGTCAAGGTGATCTCGAAAGTATATCGAAACAATGAAAAGATCAGCGTCTCTGCCTTCTGAAGAGCATGCTGCAACTGGTGGATAAGCCCACCTTCCGACCATATCTCGGATACTGAGCTATTAGACTGTTCCGTGAAGAAAAACGCGATGCACCATATTCACACGATTTCATGCCTTCACACGGTCGAGCGAATAGCGTTGCAACCAGCCCCTCTGACAGCAGGTAGACCAGGTACAATATCGAATGGGGCCGAGGTCTCTGTTCTCACCAAATACCCAATCCTCGACTACTCGAGTGTCGAGGGATCGGCTTTCGTGTCTGGGTTGTTTGTGTTCGCTCGTCGACGGTGGAGACTGGTCGAACTGAGGTTTAGACCTTTAGGCCCACCAATATCGCTGCGCATCAGTCTCATACATTCAATAATGGGATCAACCTGACTATTGCTATCTACGTATAGATCTTTCATTCAATAAGATTTTTTACACTTCGAAGGTAGCACTTGTTGCTCTGTTCGAACTGCTTGCAGCGATCCCATTTGCAGCTTTGGGAAATGGAGCCATCGGTACGATCTGATATGGAGTAGCACTCTTGTAACGGCCGATAGTTTTGGAGTTTGGGTGGACGTGTCCTTTGCAGGAACTGGAAATGGACCAGGAAGGCTGGACAAATTGAAACATGCGACGTTGATAAGCTGATCGCGTTGAAATCGAGACCGGACAAGCTTCCCGTTGGATACAAGCTTAGGCGAGGTGAGTAAGATTCAGAACCCGGTGTTTGGGCGACACGCTAGTGAGGAGGTTGCGGCAGGTCAGCTATGTACCTACGATCAGAACATGGATGGGCGAGCGTGTAAAGGATGCCTTGGTCGTAAATGGCTCTTGCCTCGGCCGTTTGATCGGCTTAAACTGCAGGCTCATTCTAGGATGCCAGCTTTCAAGATTCATCCTACCATGATCTAAAACAAAATATTCGATTTTATTGTACTTGAATGGCCTAGCCTCCCAGTTTGATCAACGACATGACCTACATACTCATTTGGCAAAGGGTATGAAGGAGCCTCAGCAAATATGAAAATAAGAAGATCCTTCGAGATGGTCATGTTACTTCTTCCTCCAGGACCACGGCTTTCAACAGCATTCAAAGGTCAGCGGACTTTAGCGTTCTGTTCTCAATTTGTTTACATCTTCACCACATGTTATTCAGACTTAATGCTCTTATCCGAAGGCATTCTAAGGAAACTCTTGGGAACTTTTTCACTCTTGGCTTTCAACCTCTACAACCTGAACTCCTACGACCCTCCTCGTCATTTTTTCCTTGTAGAGCGTCTTAGAATCTGAAAGGTGTAGTAAGATCTCTGACCTGAAGAACGATTACTCCAAAAGCAAGAACCCGGTAGAAGAGCATATATTTCACCCAACGCCTGAACTGGGTGCTCTTGAGTGCTGAATTGAGATGCATGCATGCGCTTCTCTATTTTAGCCTTCTTGTGTATCATTCGGCTTCCATCGGAGTTTGTTTCTATTTTGTTGTATGCAGTATGATATGCGAGCGCCGAGAGCGTGGGAAGAGACAATCGGCAACAGGTTGTCACCGTGGCGAGAGAAGAAATCCGATTTGGATGCGCCATGAGACGAGCTTGAGGAGAAAGAGTTGAGATTGGTTTTACAAGCTAGAAGTAGAAGTTGAGCGAGCTCATCATTTTGAGTCTCAAGGGAACCGGTGTGCGTCCAAGTTCTTCAAATCTTTTCGTCAGAATACCAAGGAAGCATGTAAGAATTGCTTTTTAAAAGTGTTTGAAAAGCAGGCATAAGAGTGTAGACAGCATATGTATTAAATGTCAAAGTGCACACACATAGAAACAATAGCAGGGCCAAAGTTCAAGTGCTTTTGGAAAGCATATGGAGTTGATAGAACTTACAAATGTTGCAGAGTACAATGGCAGCTTTTAGGAAAAAATCATGATTGTGTTGGCTTACATGAGCTGTTCAGGGGTGAAAAGACATGTGAATACCTTTAAAAAGGAATGATAAGGCCTGCACTTTGAGAATCTTCAAAGCTGAAGCTTCAAAGCTGTGGTAGAAATAGTTATAGGGGTTTTTGAGGAGTGGTAGAGTACAATGGCTTCTTTCAGAAAGCATTATTGATCATGCTTGAATGCAAGAGCCCACAAGCTTACCAACAATCACATGGCTGAGGTTTGAGTGCTTTTGGAAAGCATAGGTCTTTTGTAGAATTTATGGAATAGGATAAGTTGAAAAGCTATTTGAAAGCATAAGGATTATGGTTGCGGACATTTAAGGCATCTGAAGAGGTAAGGATAGCTTTGTTGCTTTTGAAAAGCAAGTGTGAATTGCTGTTGAAAAGCATAAAGGTGTTAGTTGGGGACGTCAGGATTGCTTAAGCTGACAAGAAGTGCTTTTGAAAAGCACACATTCCCAAATCAAAGCCTAGGTGTAGAAAATGGCAGGGCAAAAAAATATAAATAGAGCACCAATGGATCAGCCAACTAGGGGGTTTCAAATTTGGTTTCTTTGTGCGTAATTTTTATAATTGCGGACAAGTTGCTCATAAAAAAACTCCTTGTAAAACCATCATGTTTTTAATTTGGGACACCTAAAAAGGTCTTTAAAAAATTTACGCATATTTTACGACAACAGGCAAGTTGTTGTAGCCACTAGCGTAAAAATAAGTAAAATTTTCCAACTTGAAACCCCTAATATGAAACCACACAGTGCATTCCTTGGGTCCCTGTGGGATCAAATGCCCCTTGTATATCCAGAAGGGGAATGTGTTAACTTAAATCCCTGTAGAACCTCTACTTTAAAGCAGAAATTTCAGCATGAAGGCTGGCAGAATTTTTTAAGGGGGGCTTGAGGATTTAAGTTGATTAATGATACAGAACCTGTAAAACACTTTTGGGTTGGTTTTGACCACTGTGGCAACCACTTTTTTCAAAAGAAGTGGACAATCATTCTCAAATTGGCTGCACGCCGCAGGAATGGAATTGACAACGGACCGGATCATGGTATCAATTTGATTATCAGTCGGTCCTTTTGCCATTTGAAGTTCCACAAGTCAGGTTGTGGGCACGCTATATTTTGTGTGGGCGTGCCAGGGCTGTTCTTCTCTGTTTTTCTACATTTTCCTGCGCCTAGGCACCACTAGGCGCGCCGGGCGCGTTTTTGTTAGAAAGAATCTGCTGCGAGCTGAAATGCTGCTTTTTCATGAAAGTACCACAGCACCTTCAAATCCAAAGGAGAGATAGATTATTAATTGTCATTAGAGTCCTACCACTCTTGTTGACAACTACAATATTGGTTGGACTTAGAACTCCTGAGCTTTGGCGTGATTTTCAAAAAGGCGCGCCGAGCCAATTTTTACATGTTCTTCAAGCCGGGCGCGCCATTCAAAAGGCGCACCGATGGCGCGTTGTTCACACCGCGCCCACAACCTGATCCACTTGGCTCAGCAAGAACTTTGAACCAATCCAGGTCCAGTTCACTACCGCTTGTTCAAGATTTCAACATCGGTTTCCCATGTCTCTTGGTTCAACGAAAGCCATCCTGATTAACAACCTTCGACCTAACCTGACACTCTTCACTGCACCTCACTGCACCCTCTGCAACGTCTTTCGCACCGAACTTTTGAAACTCAAGGACTCCTCTACCTACCCCTACAATCAATTTCAACTTTCGTATTACAACATCCGAGACTCCAGTTTGGAAGATCATAAGCTCTATCGAAGGGCCTATCAGTACGATATACCTGTACTTCACTTAGATGGAAAGGAACTTATGAGACATCGACTTGACATTAAATTACTCACTCAAAGACTGCGCGAGTGGCATCAACTTGCTGCCAAGGATACATTGGGTCAATCGCTTTACGATTCAGAGTAGACACTGTGGTTCAAGAGAAGGACAACATCGGGATACAAAGCACAAGCTCGGGCACGTGCCCAGAAGTCCGGATTTCGTTTTTGGCTTTAAAATTGGACTCTGATCTTCTCATCCTCTTCAGAAGCTGACACGATGTCAGGCTCTTACTCAAGCTCCATACACGACCCGTACTCCCATCACATTCCCGCGGTCCTTGATGTCAAGCGATTGGAAGCCACCATACCAGAAGACTATACCTTTACCAATTCAAACGAGTATGTCTCTCAGCCAACACATTCACAATCATCATACTCGCTCGATTGCAATGATCCGATTTCCGACCACCTCCCATACCTCTTTTTCTTTGACACTAGAGCACAGGCGGGCTCGCCCGCCCTTAAACCTAAGTAGTAACCTCAAATGAAACAGACACGGAAGGCGCAAGCAAAGGCAGAAGTGTTAAAGATCAGATGACTCAGCCTGAAGCAATAAGCTTCACGCTTTGAATTAAATGATTTATTTCTACAGACAGAGGAGAGTACAGTTCACTCATAAAAAATGTATATTTAAGATATATCATCCTATATTGCATTTATATAGTTATCAATTGCGTAGGGAGCCACAAAATAAATGAAATAATACATGATACAGTGGAAGGGAAACACAGATGGCTTCCTGAGATATAGTATAATCTTATATTTAAAGAAGTTCCAGTGATCAATTTTGACTTAATTGCTAGTTTCTGCTGAGTATGAATCCTCTCGCTCGTAATACCAGCATCCAACACAAAGACATGAGGTAATCCACACTTTTGGACTTCAACTTGAATCAACTGAGCTCGATCTTGCAACATCAAAGGATCATGAGTAACATAATCTTAAAGGATTATAGATTAGAATAATTCACCTTTAGGTTGATATGAATCGGGTGCACGGTAGCTCAATATCTCAAATATACAGGCTGAACAGATATATGTAATTGGTGACAAAATGCAGAAAGCAGGTTATCTCAGTTATTGAGTGGAATTAAAGGAGGGAGTGTGAGTGAAAAACCGGACCAAGGATAGGGCTAGGTACAAAGTAGAAAAGTCTCACTACCTTTCTTTTACTGATCAAGCATGCCGTGAGCGGAAGATTCATCCAAGTTGAGTTCAATACTGATATATGATCATACCATTTAACTTTGATCCTGGTTCAGAAAAATTGGAAATCGGTTCACATTTCATCCAACGGCATGTACTTTTCTTCAATACTTCTTCAATATCATTCCAAACCAAGTCGGAGAGAACAGACAACTAACACTTTTTTGAATCTTTCTGTGGTAGGCTGTAGTCGCTCAAGATGTTGATCTGGTCGGTGATCTCACTTTCGGTCCTAGTACTACCTCTTTCATGATATACGATTCTTAAACCTCTACCAGAAGTTCAACCTTCACTTCTTTGACGTGGTATAGATTGCATGATACATCTTTCTTGTACGATCGTTGGATTTAGACCTATCACATTTGGATCAGGTTGTATAGTGGAAGAACCATCAGTAATATGTAATCGGTAAGTAGTTTTTCTTTTTGTACAATCAACTTGGATCTTCAAAATTGACATACTTGATATTTTGATTCTTTTGAACAACAAATTGGAAACAAAACATAACACTCCAATGGAAATCGGAAGTGATAATTCATTTTCAGTAGGAGGTAGAGTATAGGGTAGAGTAGAAGCCAAATCAATCGGATCACATAACATTTTCAAAAGTAAATGTAAAGTTTCATCAGATATTACCATAAGCGATCATTGTATGATAGGAGCGGGTTGTAAATTAGTATCAGAAGTTCAGAACCCACCACTTCAGGTTTTTGAAAATGGGATCCTGGAACCGATGGTCTTATCAGATGAACCTAGGATGATAGGATGAAAACAGGGTAACATAGATTGATAGTGAAGATATACAATGTGTTGTAGCAGAAAGCGCACCATTACATATCAATTGTTAGAGAGTCCGGTGCTTAAGCTAGTCGGATGGAAGGATGAGTAGAAGGATGAGGCCAGGTGTAATGCAACCTTCTTAAGAAAGATTGAATGTCGGATGGATGGGCCAATTGCTATACACGCAGATGATCATCAATAGAACAAACCGGACTGGGAAAAGTACCGACTGGTCAAATGCTAAGCAATGGAGCACTTAAGAAATTGGAAAAGTGGGGAGGAGAATGATCATGTTGGCCACCGCGAACAGTATATACAATGGGATTATGGTATGCGGGTTGGGGAGGAGGAGTGAGGTAATGCATAGAAGAGGGATGACTAATTGGTAAAAGTGATGTCTAATTTGAAAGTAGTTGAGTGAACACTTACTAAAGGTTAGTTGAACAATCATTTATTGCGAGAATGCAATATTCAGGAGTAAAATGAGGCTGCGAATGGAAAGATAGTTCGATGTAAAAGATATAGAACTTAAGATTAAAATGGAGGTGTGCATGCAGGTGATATTTGATGCGTCATGGCAGTCGAAATCATGTACCATAGGAAGGGATGCTTTGGAAGTCAATAAGGGTACTCAAAGTAAGTATGTACGTGTACATACTTTTTGCTATATACTTTTTTTGGCGGGGAAGACGAGGCCAAAAGTATATTTTTTTCTTTGTCCCCGCCAAAAAAAGTATGTAGCGAAAAGTATGTAGCGCTACATACTTTACTTTGAGTACCCTTTATATACAATGTATCGGTTTTAAATCTTTATCAAACATTGTGGAACCCATATACATATTCCAGTTGACAAACTTCATCTATCAAGATTTACGGTACTCAAAGCTACATAGTTACACGTATATAGTTGTCGTATATACCTTTTTTTGGCGGGGAAAATAAAACGAATATACTTTTGGACTCGTTTTCCCCGCCAAAAAAAACTATGTAGCAAAAAGTATGTACGCGTACATACTTGCTTTGAGTACCGTAAATATATAGGATTTTGTGTTATTTAAGACGGTAAAGGAAATATGATACAGTAACAAAGTCAATGGTGGTCGAAATAAAGTACCGTAGGTAGGGATGATTTGGAAGTTCATGTATAAGATTTTATGTCAAATGAGGCAGGAAAGGAAATAGTATCAAGGTTAAGGGAGACGTTACTTGAATTAGGCATAGGGTGGATGCATCAGTTTAACAGCACCAATAGGGGAATAAGCGAGAAGGGAATATTGAAAGCTCACAAGAAAAATGCTCAATCCAAATTAGGCAAAGAAATGATGTCAAATTAACAAAATTCGAATATAGGAATTATGAGTGTCAAATGCGGATGGAGGCAACTTTGCATTTAGGATATGACACTGAGAGATGTCTTAATGCGGAGGAACAGGGGGAAAGGAAGGTTCAAGGGGTGGATGGGCGTAATTTTTGAGTATAAAAAGAGGGTTACTTTGCGGGACCCACTCCTCAGTTATCTACAGAACTGTTGGGTGGTTATTTTCGTGATGGGATTCGATCTATGAGTTGTATCCTCACCCACATGGATCTCTCTTACATCCGCGTCAGAGAGATCGTAACGGGGGAGTGGCGGAGCCCTGCCATCGGGTTGGTTTTCGTGAACCAACCGCCCGGCCGGCCTCGCGCCTTCAGGCCCGCCCACCCTCCAATTTTGGAACCCTGGTTTCGTCTGATTGAGCTCCGGGACCCCATCCTAGGCAGCACGGTGCTCGACTCGTCGCCTAGCCACCTGAGCTCACCCATCACGACGAAGCCCCGACCGTGTCTCTTATTTTAAAGTTTTCTCAACTCAATTGGTACTGATAAGGTTTCAATTGAATGTATGGTTTTGAACCACCTTGTACAGCCTAGTTCCACCGCATTTACGCTGATCATGCAGCCTGCCTTCCCTCATCTCTCGTCTAGCGCTCGCATGAACTTGATGGTATCCTCCACCTCCTCTTCCGAGTATGCCTTTAGGTAGCGAAGGTAAGTCAAGGATTTCCACCTTCCTTGTCTCGCGATCGTTTCCATTGGTGTACCTAAATTATAACGCACTGACGCTCCTCCTACCCTGAAAGAGTGGCCTGACCAGGTTTCTAAACCTGCTTTCCCCCAACTCTCGCCTGCTAGTTTCAGGAACCGTGGTTTTGTCAAGGCTTTCACCTTCCCTCCATTCGTCGTTCCGAAGATCAAATCATCGCGGTCTGCTCTTTCATTTGCCAATAAGATTCTCTCCAAGGCTGCTACGGGATCTAAGACGTTATATTGTTGTTGTAGGTGGATTGTTTGGATTTCCTCTGTTTTCGCCGTTTTTGCTTTCTGTAGGTGCAGCTTCGCGGAACGTCTACCATCTTTTTCTCCAAATTCTACATGCCTCCTTAACAACGCTCCTTGTTCTGGCCTACTTCTCAGCAGTTCTCTGAGTCGTGCCATTCCCCAGAACGCGATCAGTGCCACTGCTCCTACTAACTTCAGCTCGTCGGATTTGTCGTAAGTCTCTTTAAATAGTTTATACAACTGTGGAATCATTATGGGTCGCTTATTTGTGACCAGTTTTTTCTCTTCCTCTAGTTTCTTCGTTGCTCTTATTAGCACTGCTACGAATTCGGTGTCAGCTGACGGTCGTTTGGTATGTCGTACCATGCTCCAGGCTCGAATGCCATCTAAATACTTCTTAATTGTTACTGACGAGATCTTCCGACTTGGGCCGTTATCTCTCTCTATCTTCTACTCTCCTGCCCAGGCTATAAACTCGTAGATGTCCTTGTCTGATATCATCTCGTTCTCGTCGAAGTTCCCTGAAGTTTTTTCTTTAAACTCAATGAACTTGCTCATACCACTTGAGTAACTCTTCAGAGTACTTTTCTCCCAACCACTTGTTGCTGCATGCCTCCCGGCTAACGACGTCGCTTCCTTCGCGTCTTCAAAGTGTTTTGGGAGCACCGGTTGAGTTTCTCTCGGCATGTTCTAGTGTGGGTTCACCTGTCGTTCTAGGTTTAGGTTGGGTTGCAGCGGCAGATTGTTGGACGTTTTAATGTCTTTTGGGGGCACGATTTTGGGCACGAGGATATGGGTCAGGTTTATTGTTCAAATTTCATTTCTATTTCTATTCTTGTCTCACGTATCTCCGTAAATCTTTGGGGACATTGATCATTATTTCATCTCTCACATGTTTCGATGAATCAAAACCTCTCGAGAGCCTGTCTGCGGCATTATCTTTGGACCTCACCCTTTCTTGCTTCAACCCGCAATCAAGCTCCATCATCACATCCTGGATTTTTATCCACTCTCTATTTACCCAGCGGTTTTTGGATTTACCATTTCGTACCGCTCCTTCCGTCACCACGTTATCCGTGAGTACTAGGAACTCCTGTCCTGCTACCGGCATCAGCCTGACTAACATCAACAGTCCTAAACGTAGTGCCACGGTTTCGGCCCACGCAATCTCCTTCCTTGAACCATCTGCTTCAACTCGGTTCCATCCGCTCCGCAACTTGAACCTCGCCCATTTCCGTCCTATTACAATGCCAATGCCGTAAGAGGTCGATGCATCACCAACCCATGCAACATTCCTGACGCCCGGACTCGGTATCAACCTCCGTGGGTTTGTTGTGGTAAGTACCTTCAACCACGTCTTCAAATCATCTCGTACCTCCTCTGGTATGTCTCTTAACGCCAGTTTGTGCACCCATTGTGCCATCCAATGATACATTGCTACGCAATGGCATTTCAGCTGAGGGTAAATCAATGATGCATGAGCTAGTCTACCCGCTAATTTCTCGACTTCTTTGTGATTTGTTCTTTCCAGTGCTATAAAGTTTTGAATTTGCGAAATTCTTAGAAGCCTTTTTGAATCTTGTAGGCCAACAGTCTTATTCTTACCGTCCCATACCATTCCTAGATATTTCTGTTGGTAATCGAACTCCTTCCATTTCTTTGGGTTCGTCACTACTCCCAGTTTGTCGCTGAGTTCTACTACGTCTATCATCTTAAACTGATTTGTTCCATTGTCTGGTTTCACGAATAAGGTGTCGTCCACCCACCGAAATGCTCGGGTGAAACCGAATTTCCTTTGGACTATCATTTTCCATGTGTTGGCTGCTTGACCGAATGATCCGCACCCTGCCACCCCGCCGAACGTGATTCGGGTGTCCAATAGCACTTTACCATCAAACGTTAGGATCATCAAATATGGCCATTGGCCTGGCCTTGTCGGGATTTGTCGATAGGCCTTTGCCCAGTCGTAAATCCCGAGGAGAACTGGGTAGTCAATTGAAAGTAGGAATTTCACTACTTTGTCGAAGTCATCCCAAGAGGTGATGAAGTCATCCTTGTCTACCATCGCATTCACTGAATTGATTGTTGGCTCCTTTCTTGGAAATGAGAGGTCGTTTATTGGCCTCAAGGAACCGTCTCCATTAGTTACAGCTCCTAGGGGGTTTGTACGGAAAAATCCTAATTTCTTGTAAGCTTCTTCTTTAGTGAACGGGCCAAACATCCTGCCTGCTTCAATTTCTTTTTTCAGATTCTCCTCTATCTCCGCTTTAGCTTGGAGGGCTGACGAGTGATTTGGCGGGCAATAGTATAGCATATCCGGGAGGTGGATCTCAGGTATTCCTTGATCAAAACCTTCCAGGAAACCTTTCAGAATGTGGTGTTTTTCTCGCAACATGTTATTTGCTTTCAATTCGCGCTCCCACACCTTGAGATTCATCTCTCATCGTACCCCAGTCGGCCACTTTGCCTTTGTTTTGATCTTACTTTGCGTGTGGTTAGTCTTTTCCTTCCCTCGCTCCACACGTGATTCAGATCTCACTATACAACCGCCCTTGGGCACTGGGCTTTAGGTACGACACAAAACCGCGAGTGAAACAAGTCGGTAGAGCGGGGCAGAAAAAAGGGGGGCTCATGTCAGGATCATGGTGTGTCTCTCACTTAGTTCTTAATCATACTGAGCAATCTTTATAAAGTTCATTTCATTTCATTTTGTTTGTGATCTCTAACTCACTAAGTCCTTTTTTGATATTTCCCGTACTTAGCACCTTTAGCCCCATCCCGGCTACGGCTACGACTTCTGGCTTTCTGATAGCCGCTGTATCCTCTGCTTCTCTCAGGACTCCTATCGCAATAGCTCCTCTCATCGTATTGACGATCACCTCTAGAGTAGTCCTTTCTATATCTAGACGACGCTTCTCTCTTAGCTTTCTCGGCAGCCTTTTTTGCTCTGTACTCCAAAGGGGGTAACCACCCCTCTTTCTTCTGGTACATTAACTCTGTTTTTGCCACTGTTGATGTCAACGCCCCCGTCTTCGTGGATGAAATTGATTTTGGGAGGCCTGTCTCGGGGTTCAAACTCTCTCGTGGTCCTCCTGGGGCGTAAGGGTTTGTGAGAAAGACTCTCTTGTTCAGGTTCTCGCAAGTTTGCTTCACTTCATTGAGAATCGCCGTCTGAATTTTCGAAATGTTGCAAATGTTCTTGTCTGTAGTGGCACGCATTACGCCTTGACGGATCCTCCTGCAATATCGTAACACCACCATCCATCCGGCCTCCTCTCTAAGTTCTATCACCAGCTGTTTATGCTTTTCAAACCTCTCGGCCTGCGTCTGCCAGCCTTCTTGGCGTACATACTTTATGAACAACGACATGGCATCTAGCCATTGTTCATATTGCATTGTAAGTTCGTCCATTGGTGGATCTCCGCTATAAATCCTCACTCCTGCTCCTCCTTCAAGGATTTTTGAGTCCGACAGGGCTTTCCTCGTACTCCACACTTGATGGTCTTGGATTAAGAAGAGTTTATTGAACACTGATAGGGAGATGTAGGCCTTGAAGGTTCAAAGGTAAACTTGCAGCATTGGTGATAACTGGGTGAGTCCTTTCAACATCTGTACTGACTCGTCGCACAAGATCCGTCGTCCGTTCTCTATCACATCTCCGTTTGAGAGTACCATTCTACCCTTCCCTGACTCGAGAAGGGCCTTTGCTAAACCTTCTTCTTCCTCTGAATTCACTCCTCCCGAAGTTGGTGGTTCTGCTTCTATTCTAGGTGTTTGAATTGGTATTATCGGAGCTTGTACCATTCTTCTTCTGTCTCCACCAATAGACGATTCGTCTAATGACTCCTCTTTGATCAACCTGCGTGGTGCTGGTGGGCTTCGACGAAGTTGTCTTTTGTCGCGGAGTCTAGTGGGCGAGCGGGACCGCTGAGGGTCTTCGAGCTCTTCCTTGTTCCTGGGCGACGAGGATCCTCCCTTTCTTCTTTGGGATCTTCCCCTTGGTTTAGGGGATCTTCGCCGAGGGGATTGTTGGCGTGGAGATGGTGATCTACCTCTACCTGAGGGTGAAGAGTCTAGGGAAGAATCGTCTCGAGGATTACGCCGTTGGTGGTGTGGCACGGTTTCTTGTCTTGTCACGGTTCTAGTGAAGCGGTTCGTCTCTTCCCGCGCTGGGTATCCTCTTTCGCCAAGGTCTGTTCCTGATAAAACCTGATGTCCGATCTGGCCTGTTATGGGATCTTGGCGACGTTGTTGATCAAGAGCAGGAAGGGGTTGTTGTGGAGGGAGAGGTGGAGGCTGCGGCCCTGCAGCTGCAAGCTGTCGGTGCGAGGGCTGTCGGCTTTGTTGGTGGTTGGGTAACGGTGACACTCTTCTCGCCGTCAGTAGCCGACTTGGGCCCGCTGATGCGTTACGACTTTGCCCTCTTTCCAAGAGAGTAGGTACGCTTGGTGCAAACATCTGCATGAATTCTGCGAGGATTCTCGCTCCTTCGGCTCTATCGACCGCGTTGTTACTCGAGTATAGTTCCTCGATTTGCGACTGCATGATGATCGCTCTGTCACCCTCCGCTATTTCAAGAAAGGAAATGGCACTTGTAAGTATCTGCCTTTGATTTCCCGTATAACGACTTTCGTTTATATGCTCATCGTGCGTTGTTAATTTGTAGGCTTCACCTCTCTGAGAGTGAACATGCCTCTCCCAATTTGTAGCTGGGGCAGCTCTTCCCACCATTCTCGCTCCACACTGGGTAGCCTAGGTTCAGGGTTTGAGACAAGCCATGTAATATGCGCTTACGTCTGACAAGACACATGGATATGTGCTTACGTCTAGCCTTCCTGGGGATCAACCCTGGCTTCAACACAATAGGTTCGTTTCAAGGAACTTCCATTCACACGTGGGATGAAGACTGATGACTGATGATTAAGAGAAACAGGCTTGAGTATAAAAGGGGGTCAAGAAGAATTCACTAACCTAGAGATGAAATGTCTTCCCCGTCGAGATCGTCTTCTGAAGAGGACTGCGTTCTCCGACCTTTACCCTTGTTTTTTGGTGTAGGGGGTGGCCTCCACGAACCATCCCGTTCCGTATCAGACGAGCCTCTTCCGTTCAGGACTTCCGGTTGGATCTCCTCTCCGTCGATGTTTCCACCTGTGATCAACAGCATGTCGTCTTCTTCCTCACTTTCTTCTTCTTGAATATCTTCATCTGGATGTTTTCTCTTCAAAGTTCTTTTCTGTTGTACTAAGCTCGGGCCTGGCTCCACTCCCGTAGCTTGGGATGTCGATCTTGTTAGACGAGCTTCGGCTTGTGCAATCCTTGCTTCCATTGTCGATTAATCTGGATCTTGGGATTTCTAACGGATATTAAAAAAAACTTTCCGACGCTGTTCGAAAAGATTGGAAAAGATCTTAAATGAGATATGATGAGGATGAGCCTTTGACGTTGCTTTGCAAGGTGAAAATCTTCAAGTTGAGAATTTTGGAACTCCAGTTCCAGCATATCTCAACTTGTCTTGCACGGGTCTCCGTGCGCGTGTTGGTGCACGCCCTCACCTCCGCTAAGTCACCGTGGGCTCAAGAACCACGGCGTGCCTTGTGGTTCTATCAAGGAAATCAATTTGTTTGATGCGCACCTCGCCAGCAAATCATGATTTCAAAAGATTTCTGATGGCTGAAACTGAGGTGCGTACTGTGTAGATGTAAATTTGTAAGGTCCAACCTTCAAGTGATACGTCAGTGCTTATGCTCTTTAGTACTAAGGCATAAATGCTGATATTTTGCTTGAGGGGGTGGGTTTTACTAATTTACATTTATTTAATTTAATCAGCGGCAAATCCGCTGGCGCTTCCTCACCATCATGTCAAGATGGCGACTCAATTCTCTCCTATACTTATTGTCCCCAAGCTACTCTAGTCTTGGGGTCTACTGACGACAACAAATGTGCACATCCATCCACCATTTGGAGGTGTTTCAATTGCGGTAATGCCACTCATGGTCTAGCAGGCTGCCAGGAACCTAGAAATGAAGCTCTGATTAGGTTATCAAGGCAGATTTTCCAGACCCAAAAGCTTAGTACCAGTGGAGAGGCTGATGAGGACTGCAATCAGGCCAACCACAGTTTATTGGCTGACATTGGTGTAAACCTCCTTGACCGACAGAGAGAGCTAGCTGCTAGTTTTTTTCCTGGTCAAGTAAGTGCCGGGCTTCGTGAAGCTCTGTTTTGGGATTCAAATCTTGAACACGCTGATCCCGATTTTATGGATCCTGAACAGCTGATGCCTTGGTACCACTGGTTTGAAAAGTGGGGAGTAAGTTCATCATTACCTGTGGTTGAGTGTTTGATGGGGTTTGACATGATACTGATGCAACTTACATACAGTATCCGCCTGGTTACGCAATTCTTGAGACTGATAAATTGGACCCCTTCAAGGCTGTAACACATCGTCTTGCAGAACTTGATGAAGATCTTCCATGGACTTCAACTCAGGTGTTAGAGATGCATCGAGGTGAATCACCACCGCTGAATAGCAATGAAGAAGGTTATGATTCAGATGAGGAAGTGCTTTGACTCCTTCTACCTGAACGAGCTGTCTCATCGGTTGTTGTACCTCCCAATCTACCTCTTGATGTCACCAGCATTGACGCTCCTCTACCTTCCAGCCCGCCGCTTTTACCATTGTCCTCAGGCCGGTCCCGGCGCTTACGTATTGTCAAGTATAGTGGTGCACGGTTTTGCCATGATCATTTGCCAGTATATAATGGCCAGATGTTGAAGCGCAAACAAACTTGTAAATGTCTCTCCCCTGCATCCTCCTCTCCTCATCCATCTAAATCGCGATATTCCAAAGACTTGAAAATGAGGCAACCTCCGCCAACACGTCCGTCTTCCTCGCGGCGATTTGTACCCTATCCACCTGCAAGGCTATCTCATCTCGATGTTGCTCCGCAAAGCCGGAACAACCCTTATTGGAAAGGGGTCAGAAAAGAGGTAGATCTCTCACCCGAGTCTTTGACCCCACTGCCTCATTGGTCTTATCCCCACTCTAGTAGTGCAGCTGATACTACTGATAAATTCTTTGATGGCCGTAAGAATCATCCCTATGTTAGAGAATTCGGTCGTCCATCAATCTGACCGTCCAAGTCTTCATCTTTATCTTCACAGGTCCACTAGAATCAAACTCACGGTCCTCCGCACCTTCCGTCTACTCACAAAATTCAACATCTCCCAGTCCATGGCGATCCTTGCGAAATCCAAGCTCCACTGAACATAGTAATGCAACACCTGGATCATCTACATTGCAACCATCATTTCATCCCTATACTCAACACCGGGTAAGCTATGCTGCGCACCGCAACAGGCCAAAACAGCGCGGCGTAGCTCTTTGAAAAAAGTGTTTTTCCCAAACTTGGTAGCGCAACACTCAAAATGACCAAACAGCAACGCTGCAGTCAGCAGTGTTGCTCCAAACCGCTGCGTTACAGGCGCAACACGCTGTGCAACAAGCCAAATCAAGTGCGACCAAGGAAAAAATTAATTTCAATTCAAAAACAACCTTAATGATAGTCGAGAAGTTATTTAAATAAATAAAAGGTACTGAAAAAGGTAATAAAATCAATAAACGAGAGTAATGAATACTAAAACCAGCAAAAGAAACAAAAAAGTGAAACAAAAAAGTAAAAATGTTAAGATTAAGTCCTAGGTATTCCCGTGGCTTTGAGTACCTTTGTAAGCTCATCAAAAACAGTTCCAAGCTCCACACCCTCTCTCAGCCAAAGCCTGCTTGAGACCAGGGTTTCAATCGTACAGGCAATCAGGCTGCCTTGACTGCATGAGCACACATCGGAAGCACACAAGAATATTCTCTCTGCCGCGCATGATGAACCCGTTGATGCTAGGTAATCCCTAGCCATAAGAGCCAATACCCGGTATTTTTTTTCGTGGGCCTAGTGAAGGAGAAGTTACAATGAGTATCAGTACCAGTGAGGACATCATCAAAAGATTAGGAAACTAACCTTCCACCAGAGTAGACTGGCTTCAGGTTTCTGAAGCTCATACTCGTCTGTCTTCATCTTGTCCGATCCATGTAGGTAAATTTTCATAGGCGATTCATCACCTTCATCAACTTCAGGTTCCTCTTCAGAATCGCTGCCAAATATATCTGGTTTTGGTGAAGAAGTGTCTGAAGTTTTCAAATTGTTTCCATGTTCGGTTTGAGATCGGGTGGGTTTGGTGAGAGGTGAAGATCGCTCATAATCTCGGTAAAGACGTCGAAAGGTGTTTTCGGCTTGCATGGTCACTGAAGACGTGTCTCCAAACCACTTCACAAAAAATTTAAGTCTGAAAAAAGGGTGTAGCATTGTGGCCATGACTAGAGTCTCACAACCAAGGGCCTTGTTAAGATAGTCATTGGTTTTTTCCTTCATCTTTGCAAGCATTGGGTAAATAGCATCGGATGTGGCAAGAGGCGCTATCTTCTTTTCGAGACTGTTACGAAGTTCAACGTACTGAGGAATAACCATGCAACCAGTTGGTCTGTCACCCTCCATGAGGAGAGTGGTCTTCAGGAACGGCTTGCAACCAGAAAAGATGCATGTCAATATATTGTAATATAAGCCAATATCAAAACCCAAAAAATACCTACCTTGAGTTACTTGTTGATTCCACGAACTTGGGCCCAATCGCTTGTTGTCATCTCCAGTTCATGGAAGTAGCCGTATGGCTTCTTGTTCTTGCGAGGTGGTCTGTTCTTTGTGTGAACAACATTTAAATTGTCTCGGCATAACTGATCAATGACCTGGGTGAGATGTAAATTAGTGTATGTTAATTATACTAAGGTTGAAATGATTGAACATGATATCATATGATGTAAAATACACTTACCTCTCTCGCAAGCCATGCTTTATGGCGGCTTTGGTATTTGATATTCCATCGAATACCATAGCCTGCAATAATTGAACCTTTGAAACCTTTCTGTTCACTAACTCGATCAAATTGCTTCCGCCACGCAGCCGAACGTGTTATTCGCCGAGTGATGAAGTCTAACTAAGATTGGTGAGAATAAGATCATATTAGAGAGAAAGATACAAAAGGTGAGGTATGAAAAGAGAGATAAATGACACTCACCTTGCGTAAGATATAATCCACTTGGTTTGCTTCCCGTCGGTGTGTTGGTTGGACTTCATTGTCCTCAACAACCAATTCAGGACAACCCTCTTCTTTGGCATCTGCAGCGTCCCATTCGCCTTCGTCATCCAGCGCAAGCTCAGCTGGGGGTGGAATTGGTGACTCCTCAAGATCCTGTAAGTCATGATCAATGCTGTCTTCTTCTTTGAGAATGCTCAAGTTCAAACCTGCATCAGTAGGCGGTGGAACCACCATAGGTTCATCATCAGGCTTCTCCTCTTCCGCGATAGTGCCTATGATAGGGAAATGCCCTTGGTCAGTCTCCTTCACCTTGAGAGGTGGCAGAGCCTTAACACCAAGCGCCGCCAAACCCGCATTGACGATCAATGCAAGTTTGTGGCTGAAACAGAATATGTGCATCGAGTCCGGGTCCCAGTTGTATGATGCAATGTCGTCCTGTTCAAGAAACTGCTTGTGCATTTCACGTGCCATGGTCTTGTTGTTTGACCCGGAATCGGTCGTCTGACATAGCATGTATTACCCAATGAAAGATGTCAGCACTTTGGGTTAAAAAAGACAGTAGAGATAAGTAATAACCTATCTTTTGATATAGTCCATGTTTGACCAAGATATTGACCATTGGCTCTGCGAGCCATGGTCTGTGATGGTGCCAGGTGATAACCTTCAAAGTGAGGTGTCGAACACGGTAATTCCATTGGTTGTCCACAAAAGTCGCTGACGCTCCAATGAACGCATGTCGGTTGCCTTTGGTTGTCCAGCCATCGTGGACCAAATTGAATTTTGATTTGAGAGACTGACATTGAAAGCAAGTTTGATTGTGTCAGTCATAATTAAGTAATGCTTGGAAGAGTGAGCTTTGACATACCTTCAGTTCAGAAAACACTTTCTCCTTAAGAGAAAGATTGATTTGCTTAGCCTCGTGAGCTGCCCAACAACGACCATAAAGGTGAGCATCTTTTTGAAGGTATCGGATGATTCCTCGGAGTATTGGATCTTCAATTCTACTCCATGGTTGAGCTTGACGGATCAGCCAAAGACAGGCCATTTGATTGAGGGTCAGATTGGAAAATGATACGTTGAGTGTTGAGACTACAAAAGAGTTCATGGGACCAGTCTTTGCGAGAGCCTTTCGGGCTTCGGCGACTGACAGAGGAACCAGAAGACTTGGTTCCTTTGCTTGGGCTTTGAGACGTCCGGAGCAGCCGACAGCAGATTGACCAGCTGCTGTGTTACCATCACGGTGGACCCAGAGGTTCCCGGTCAGGTTGCTGAGACTCACCCTGACCGGGTCATTCTCGTTTCGGTTGCAGAATCAACAAGGGTAGGAAAGGGGTGCCTTGGTGGGATCCTATAACAAAGAGAGATGGGGACAACCGCATAGGACAGAGCGAAGTCAGTATTATTTGAAATCAATTGAATGATATTGACTTACATCATCCTTATGATTGGGATCATTCTTTCTATGAAACGGGGTTCCAAAATAGGCCTTGAGTAGATGAATTTCCTTTGCTTCTTCCTTTCGAGTCTTCGATGCTACTTTTTCATTCTCTTCTTCTGAATCAGCCTGCAACGTTTCTTTACTGGGATTTGCTGAGGCATTCTGGAAGTTTGAGGTGTTAGTAACTTCTTGATAATTGGTTTTGAAATGAAAGATATTAACAGAAGATATTAACAAACCTCCTTTGAGCCGGATTTGCTTTGAGTAGCCTTTCGTTTGCGTTTCTTCTGCTTCGCAACTGCTGAACTGATTGATTCGGAATCGGATACATCTTTGGTAGAGGCAGTCTTACGCTTCTGTTTAGTTGAAAGACTTTGGACGACATCTGATTCGTCTTCGGTGTCTTCAATTTGCTGCATCCGATTTTTCTTCTTGTGTCTTGGGGACTGACCACTAGCTAGGATGACACTGTCAATCGAAACGCGGCGACGGGAATCGGGAGAAGGAGCAATCATCCCGGCGCGTTCAGGCTGCTTGCGAGAGCGTGATGGACACTCAGAGGTGACAGATGACATTGGGTGGTTGATTTGTAGGGGTGGATCTGAATGGAAAAATTGAGGAATAAGATGTGGGATAATTTGGAAAAGATAATTGAGGGGTTATGTTAGCAAAGTATAGAAGCGAGTAATAAGAAACTGCACTGACCAAAATGGGGACTAATCCAAGCCTCCGAGTTCCAGGAGTCGATAAGGCCTGCACCCGGCCCGCTCTTCGCCGGGCGGCCCGCCAGGCGGGCCGGGCCGGGGCAAGCCCGAAAAGCCTCAAAAAGGTGTTTAGCCCGAGAGCGATTTGCGCTAAGGCCCGTCGACGGGCTGGCCCGGGCCCGGCCCGGGCCAGAAATGAGTCAAAGGAGCCATTTTTTGTTTTTTTCAGCACAATTCTTGTATATTTCAGGCTGAGAGAGAAGAAAAGACAAGAAAACAAATGAGAAATGAGTCAAAGGAGCCCTGAATCTTTTTTTTCAGCACAATTCATGTATATTAAGCAAACAAAGGTAAAAAAAATTTAAGGCGTTTTTGATTGTTTGATGGAGTTGAAAGATAGAAGAAAAAAATCAAGTGTTTTTTTTGTAAGAGTGAAATAAAGACAAGTTGTCCCAGCTTTTGAGGCAAATCGATGCCTCAAAATTCAATGGATCCATAGTAGCCCGTTCATCTGTCCAGACTCTCCCACCAGCAGAGAATGATCGTTCAGAGGGTGTAGAGGTAGCAGGAATAGACAAGTATGCCAAAGCCATACGAGCAAGAGTAGGAAATTCACCGGCGTGAAGACCCCAATATTCTAAAGGATTAACACTTTTGTCGGCGCGTCCACTGGATAAGTACATATCAACTTCTTCTTCAACAGTAAGATTTTTTTTACGAGTGATGAAACGACGTGGCCCATCTTCTTTGGGTTCTGATTCAGCATTATCAACATTTTCTGGTTGTCCTTGATGAAAAGTTGCAACCTCCCTGGTAAATTTGGTTCGCAGTTCCTCTCGGTCATACAGGCCAGCCATCTCAATCGTTAAAGTCGACAGTTCAAGGAGTTTACTTCGGGGATCAAGGACGTTCGCAAATAGATAAACGGGTTTTTGGAGCGCTGATTGATGGTATTGTTGGAGCTTGATTCTCATCGGTCCTATGGCTGCTCGAAGGGGTTCGTTTGCATTGCCTTGCCAGGCCTGTCGAGCACGAGAAATTGTTAAGAAGATGTGTAAGTGATTTTCAATACTTATGGAAAATGTTTGGAAACATACCTTGTCCAACTTTTCTAAAATCCATTGATAGACTGGTGCGGCATCGGCAGTTGTTGGGTATTGGGAACCTGATAGTATCTTTGTAGCGGTGTTAAGCGGTGTGAGAAATTCTACAAGATGGGCGACCAAATCCCATTCACTTTCGGTAAGTGAAAACTTTGCATATTCTCGATCATTTTTGGTGCGATAATCGATTGCAGCCTTGAGTCGATAAGATCTCTCATGAGCTTCACAATCAGAGTTCCAGCGTGTGTCGACCCGTCTGATAAGTCGAACGTGATCCTTTTCTGGGAGCATACCCTTAACAAGGAGCATAAAAGACTCCACACGTTGTGGAGATGCCTCGACATAGTTGGTAAAGCCAATCAGGCGAGTTAGAGCACTCGAGATTTGTTCGGTGTCTTGATGTAGCCAAGCAGCGAGCGCAGGAGGTAATGAAGGGTTTTTGTTGCCTAGTTTCTCGGAGAACACATGAAGTCCTGCTTTAGCGACGAGGTTAATGACATGCGCGATACATCCAAGGAGGTGTTTGTCAGCGTGGAATTGTGGGACTACTTCTTCAATTTTTCTTCCCATGACAGAGTTGTTAGACGCGTTATCAGCAGTGATGCAAAAGAGTTTATTGATTAAATCGTAAGTCTTCAACGTTTCGAGTAAGTGTTCACCAAGATTTTCCCCAGTATGAGGACCGTCGATCAACTTCATTCCGATGATAGCCTCGGACAACTTGAAGTCTTTCGATATCCAATGAGCTGTGACTCCAAGAATCGATTTGTTGTGTTGACTCCATCCATCGCAAGTGAAATTGACGTGAGTAACATCCTTGAGGTGATGAGTAAGCAAGCGTCGACCTTTGATAAACTGAGCCTTGATGGTATCGGTAAAGGTAGTATGACCAAAGAAGTAAGGCTTGATGTTCGGATTGACTAGCATAAACGCATTACGTAGATCCTCATATTCGACTAAGGAGAAAGGAAGCTCTTCATTGACAATGAGGCGTAAGATAGCGGACCGGAAGGATGAATTTGAGAGCTTCTCACTCTTTTGAAGTAGAAAAGAAGAAGCAGGGAATGAGACAAGAATTAAAAGTATCTACTAAGGTTTGAAGTACTTACTGGCGCAATCCGACCAGTTGTGAGGAACTTGTTCATGTCAACTGCTCCTTTTTCGACGTGCGATTCTTCATCCAGGCCGTGCTTGAGCAGGTGTCGACTCATTGATTTTGTACTTTGAGACGCATCAACTTTATAACTCTTGCCACACTCCTTTTCAGGCTCGAGTTGGTAGGTGCAAATGGTCCTCTTCTCGTCTTTGTTGGTGATCCGATCGACAACGGTTTGAGTCTTAAAATATCTCCACACCCACGATGTCTTGCTGCCGGATCTAGAGTTGATTCGATTAGTTAGGTTGGGGCGAGTGGGGCTGGTTGATCGTACGTTGACACTGATACGCGGATGTGAGGTATCGGAATCTGCGTCAGATAGCACAATTGTCGCTTGCGATCCCGAAGTGGTTTCTTTTGGTGAGGAGAGACAAGCTTGCTTGGTTTTCGAGCGGGGTAGAGGGCTGGTGTTTTTCTTCTTTTTTGATGTCATTTTAACTACAGTCAACTCCCTCTAATTACATACAGTTTGGCGGGTGGTTTTTTCATGCACTTAAAGGAATATGCACTTATAGACCTCATTTTGGCTTGAAAACCCCTTTTTGGCGGCAAAAAATCCTATGCAGATAGAGAATTATGCACTTATAGGGATATCAACTTAGAGGGAGTTGACTGTATGCTGGGAGTATGACTTCCAAAAGGGGAAATCTACACTCCCGGCTGACAAAAACCCGATTGGCCTCCATGGCCCCGCAACAAACCGCTGCCTGCGGTGAGCGGTGCTTCGGGGGGCGCCAGCGCAGCGGTTCAAAAAATTACGATTTTTGAGTTTCAGGAAGCTCTGCGGGGTTTTTGACCCCAAGAGCTGCGCTGCACAGCAGCGCAGCACCCCAAAAAACCCGCAACGCCCCGCTGCGCAACAGCAAAGAGGGGCGTTGCCTACCCGGTGTTGCTATACTTCCCCGTCACTAATCTCCCCTACACTTCTCACGCGAAACAGAGAGATGTCGGATATACCTAAAGATGAGAATATGGCATGGTACACAGCTTTGTTACCAGATTACCCTGAGTCAACAAATCCTTCTACCTCGACACCTAAACCACAAGCTACCACACAAGGTTTGAATGGATCTACATCACCTGCTGCTCTGTAGGCTGTTTCAAGAGCTTTGACACCATCTTCACATGTCCTTTCAGAACCAGAACCACACCCAGAATTGGAGGATATGGTAATGTCAGATGAATCTGATGAGTAAGTACTTCATTGCTTTCTCAAGGATATAGGTTTATGGCAAAGATGAGGTATGTGAAGGTATATGGGCAAATAACATATTTGTTCAGGATAACCATACAAAGGAAGGGATTCGGCAATCGCGGCAGTCAAACAAGTCAGTGTGTATTGCTTGTTTATCTATTTGAACTGGGTTCGTCTTTGGATTTGAAGTGAAACAAAAGGATTACCATAATCTGTTGCTTTACTTGGCTTGGACATTTTTGTTTAAACCCCTTTCAGTGAGGACATTCATTTTTATTGTCTCATTCTGTTTTTTCTCTCTATGAGGCACTTAATTCTTAACATTTTCAACTAGAAGCAATTTCACTTTTCTTCTATTGTTTGGTGGAAATAATTGGATAAGGTTCAATTTGTCAATTCCATCCGACTTTTTTTTCTTTTTTTCTCTCTTATTTTCTTATGCTTCAGCTACTATGCTGGTCTGTAAATTGTGATATATTGGACTTGAATATACATCTTTCTTTTTTCCTTCTTCAAAGAAAGACAAATAGGAGGCAATTTGTAGGTATAACGGCATTTTGAAAAACAAGGAAGTTGAAAAAAGATTAGTCCATCAATCTTGAAATTTGCATACATTATTCATACTTCCATTGCATTCAAAAGCTCCTTGATGACACAACATGTCAACTACAAAGCAGAAAATATAGATTCTGTATAAATCATTTGTGCAACTTACAGCTGTGCAGATTTTTGAAAGTTGAGACAGTACAGATTTTTGGAATCACAGGTTTTGATTTCAAGGAAAATGAGAAAAAGGGACAAGCAGGAAAGGTGTGGTATATGATGAATGATAGCAACTGAATTTCATGAAAAAAGCTATACTAAATTACAGAAGTGTTCTCTGGCAACTAGATCTTAGTAACAAAGGGTGATTGTGCTTGTCAATGTCACCAAGGAATTGAAGACTAAAGGTAACCTCAGCTTGCCAAAGCTTGTGCAAGGCACAGGGACTTGGAAGTTAGTCCTCTTCTACTGCGGCTCTAAGTTGACTTATAAACCATTTTGTGTACGTAAACTAGTAGGGTCCTTCATATAATAATCAAATGTAAAGGATGAGATAGCATGCCATGAGCAGAAATTGTATCTTCAGATCAATTCAAGAGAATGCAAGTACATATAGTTGCTATCATGTAGTCACAACTACGTGCCCACCTGAAAAAGTCAAAATTTACCAACCCAAGCCTTCCCACATGCCCCCATGGGTTTGTAGGAACTACAAGGTCAATAGGGGGTGGCTTGTGAGGTGAATGACTTTTTGATGTGATGTGGCCAGCACTTTTTTTATTTATTTTTTGAATTTTACTTACATATATTTTGGACATATGTTTATAGGGGTTTATGGTATGAGATTGGGGTGTACTTATGGTTGATAATATGGGTTTAGGTAGTAGATCAGGGTCTAGGAGGCCTCAATTTGAGCCCTGTAAGGCAAAAATCTTGTTTATTTCATGTATGAATCAATTGGGTTTGATTGCTTATGTAACAACACCATCAGATATGAAGAGAAATATTGAGAAAAAAAAGAAAACATTGTGTTGTAGGGAGTCAAAGACTGCTTGCCTTCATGTATGATATCACTTGAGTTCAATTGCTTGCCTACTACATTACATGATCAGAGATAAAGAGAAAATACAACCAAATCATGAGTTTTGGGTGTTTTGATGATTAGGTTGACAAATGAACTCAAAATTCATTGCAGCCTTTTGAGGAACACATATATGATCTACAACTATACCACCATTTCAAAAAAGATTGGCAACTGGTTTTGGAGAAAGTTGTCTCCACAGCGGGTAAAATGGAAGAAAAAACTTGACTACAGGTTCATCTTTTTCTGTGTTCAATTAGTGGGGGACAAAACCCAGGTTTTGCATGTTGATGAGATTTTTTTAAGAAAAAATCTTTGTTGGAACAGCTGTAACCTCAGAAAAAAATCAGAAGGTTTTCAAAGTTTTTTCAAAGCATCAGAAAGTTAGAATTGGTTCTGACTCTCTGAATCTCTGAGCCTCTATCTCCTTTTGGTTCCTGAAGTCATAATATCAATGCACAGCCCCATAGCATGGCTGAATCTTCATCAGAACAACTTCTCCCATCCCCATCCCCTCATCTGCTACCCCGCAAGAAACATCAGCCACAAATACACTCCTGTGTGGCTTCCCCTTCAACAATCTGTTAGCCAATCTACTATTCAGCACCCATCCCTTCAATTCACCATTCAGCTTTAATGAACAAAAAGTTGAATGTTTTGATTTCAATTTTGATGTTTCTTAGATACCAAGCCCAAATAAAACATTTGGGCTTGTTTAATTTTTGTTAGTTCTTTTACAAAAAAAGTACACAGACAAGAAATCACATGTTTGGAAATTATCCTGTTTACATTGTGTGCTCAAGTTTGTTATGTACATAGACCAATATTACCTAGGTTAATAGGCAGTACATATTCCAATTGATCAATTGCAAACTTGATTTGATTTTATTTGTTACTCTGATCTTTCTGAAAACTTGAGTGATGATATTGTTGAGACTCGCAGGGAAGAGAACTAGAGGGAGATGAGATTGGTGATAATATCTGAGGTGGATGTCCAATCACACACTGGTGAAATCTGTATGGTGTGAGGGGCATTCAAGTATGTCCTATTTGTCAGGATGTCAGAAATTCAGGACACATCAAAAAATGGCTTTCTGATGTTCTGAAAAAACTTTGGAAAAAAAGTCTGGATTTTTTTTTGAGTTTATATTTGTAGACCATGATTGATGAGATGAATATTGCTTATTGTTGGCCAATGTGTTGGCTTGAGTGCCTGTAAAGCCTTGGCTATAGCAGGGATGAAGGGTAAGTATTGAATTTGGAGCACATAAAGGATTAAAGAAATGAGATAAAACCTTACCAATACACATCCATTAGACAATCTTAATCTTTCAAAAATCCTTTTGAATTGTTGTGACTGTACAAGATTGTTGGGCCTTGTCAAAGAGAGCCATTGAGTCCTTGAAAGACATACAAAGATAGCTACTCTCTTGAAACTCTGGTAAGACGAGACAGTCAGTTGATGAAGTGAGAGAGATGGTTAAATAGAAACGCAGAGGTTTGATGTATACCAATACATCTCGATTGGGTTAAGCTTGCAATAGAATCTTGGAAGAAAAGACATATATGACCAGTGTTGTCTATGACAGTCTCAACCCTTGCAAGTGATTTGATCACACTTTGTTGCTGAAATTTGACAGTTTTCACACTGAAAGAACAGCTTTTGATTTGCTAGCTTGGCCTTTTTACATAAATTTCCCACAAGCCTTGCTCTGCAAGAACACACCATTAACATCTCTAGTAAACTGAAGATGATCTTGAGGATAGACCATGGACTGTGGCTGGCCTCAAAGCCTGGTAGGAATCTTAGGATTTTTGTTTGTAATGAATGTACAGTCAACTCCCTCTAATTACATACAGTTTGGCGGGTGGTTTTCTCATGCACTTAAAGGAATATGCACTTATAGACCTCATTTTGGCTGGCAAACCCCTTTTTGGCGGCAAAAAATCCTATGCACATAGAGAATTATGCACTTACAGGGATATCAAGTTAGAGGGAGTTGACTGTATCACATAAGGTATCCTTCTTTCCCCCAGGACCAAGGTTCATATGTGAAACCCAAAGAGCTGAAGTACTGTAATACCTGTGTACAGATGAAAAATCAAATATAAAAATTCTGTGGTAATGAAGGAAAAGCTAATCAAAGATGGGAAGGGCTTGTGTCTTGACCTGTTCAATGAGTTGAGGATGGTCCCACCACTTATCACTCTTGGCTCCAGAAGAATCAGCCACAGCAGTTTTTCTAAAGGTTGATCAAGAACAAGCCACAGCTGCTTGTTTGTCTTTAGGTGTGATGACTAACTGGAGTGTACTACATGATTCAACCATTCACTCCAAGTTGTTTATCAGATGGCCTTGGCTTTTCTTTCATGATTTGGTGGTACTTTTGTAATTCAGGACAATGGTTAGGATAGCATAAGGCTGAGAACTTAGATATGTGTAGTTAACTTGTATACTAGACATGTTTGAAATGAAGATCTTGTAAACCTAGCACTTGCCCATAGAGCAGAGATAGATCTGTACCCAAAATATAATGCAGGTCACCTCATTCACTACTTTCTGCTCTCAGAATGTTTAAAAGTTGCAGGAATCCATGGATTTAGAGATTGCAGATACAAATTCAGCATCTAACAAAACAGAGAATTTCAGGGCCGGCTTGGAATACAACACACAAAGCTCATGATGGAACAAATCTCAAGAAGAGAATTAAAATAAATTCTAAAAACCAAGGCCAGGGGGGCTTGACTCATTCATCCCTTGACCAAGAACATGTTTTGATTTGAGGGTTCAACTCCAGTGTCGTGCATGCATTGCGTAAAGATTAATAGACACCTCAAATTCTTGTACTCAACCAGATGACCCTTTTCCTGGTGAAGAAGTCTCCTTCAGTTTAATTTTTCAGATAGTGTAATATGCAATAAAGCAATACAGCACTTTGAAAGAAAGAGGGTGTCAATTCATGCTATACTTGTGGCACCCGGCTCCATCTCTCTGAGCTACTCATTCCCAACCTCATTGCCCATTGATCTTTGCACACACTCATGATGTTTTGCTTGTCCAAGGCGGTGGAGGTGTGCTGTAGGTGCTTGTTCTAGCCAGAAGGGTCCTCCGCCCCTCACCTGCCGGTTTCATTATTTTTTATCCGCACGGTCACCCGCTTCGGGTACCCGTTTTGGTGGTGTCCGAAAAAGGTCCGAAAGTTCTTCATCGTGACTTCGGTTGTGCGTCTACTCCGGGTCAAGTTGCGATCACATCTTCGGGCTGTCTTGTCTTCAACCCCATTGGAACTTCCGCAATCTCATCCTTCTCCAACTAACCAACACTTACCTCACATATTTCTATCATCCAAGATGTCCGGATTGGAAAGCGAGTAACTATCAATGCATTTTCAATTATGGTCGCTTCCGCTGATCTTGGTGATCTCCTTTGCCAATATCGTAGAATCCTTATTTCAACTCAAGTTCACTGCTAAACAACTTCAAAAACAATCTCGTAAAGCTAGCAAAGATGAGACCACGGAAAAGGCAAAGCTCAAAAAGGTACGTCCACTCCCTTGACAAATTAAACAACATTTACCTTGAAGATTGAAGGCGTTCTGAAACCAATGGCTAACTTTACTTCGTCTGCTGATTTTATACAGGCGCTTCAACAGGGCAACATTGACGGAGCACGTATCTATGCTTCCAACGCTATCCGAAAGCATACGGAATCGCTCAACCTACTTCGACTTTCGTCTCGAATTGATGCCGTGAGCAGTCGTGTTGAGACGGCGGTGACGATGCGAAGTCTCACTGCTAACATGACTGGAGTGGTCAAAGGCATGGACCGGGCAATGTCCAGTATGAATTTGGAGCGGGTCAGTCTGATTGATTACGACCCATGTCTCTCGCAGTATGCTTTTCTGACTTGATGTATATCATTTCTTTGCAACACCCGATGTCACGAAACTTGGATCTAATAGATCACGATGGTGATGGATAAGTTTGAATCACAATTTGATGACCTTGACCTACAAACCGGCTATATCGAGTCTGCGATTGGTCATACCACTGCAACCAGTACTCCACAAGATCAAGTCGATTTACTGATCCAAAGTGTTGCCGATGAGGCCGGTCTCGAGGTTCAACATGGGCTTGGTGCTGTCACTGCACCCACCTCAACCCTCGGCGAAGCCACTCTCACCAAAGATACTCCCAGTGCGATCACGGCTAATGAAACTCAAGAAGATGCGCTTGCTCAGCGACTTAGGGCGCTCAGGCCTGCTGCTACCTAAAGTTTCTGCTCCTCTTCGTATTCTTTAAGGTCGTCACAGTATCCTATCGTCAGTCTATCTTGCATTTTGTTCCCCCTTAGGGGTCCTTCTCCGTTTATCCTTTATTTGCTATTTGTTTCCCTTTGGGTGAGGATTGATCAATATACCTCATCGCTTTCATACATATGATGTCTATTGTACTAAGTTGTAGAGTATGTGTATATTTGTTTACCAATATATATCTAGAATCATCCGGTGCGCCAAAGAACGCGTTCTAGGCTTTTGCAATGGTCTGTGGCAGTCATTTCATTAGAGTTGAAGGATCCTACCTTTGATCAATCCAGTCATGATTTTGGGTTGGGGATAAGGGCTGGGACTGAAACTGTGTACGTGGTTGTATCTGACAGTGACTACTCAACGAAGATGAATGATTCTTGAGGATCTAAAGGTTGAGCGGTCAAATATCCTCAATCCTTCAATAGCTGAATCATGGGACAGTCATCGGCGGGACCCAGCCAAGCACCCGTGCATCCAAGCTACGACAAATCTCTATACACAACATGCCCAAAAACATTTCCAAGCCAAAAAAAAAACTTGACCCGCCATATTGACCATATGCACAGTACTAAACCACAGCTCGCAGCAAGTGGAAACCTTAAGTGAGTGTCTCTGTCTTTCTTGAATCAGAACAAAATGGTTGTTTTGATCTTAATAGTAGCTTATTGGCCTGAGCCCAGATTCAAAGCCGCCTTGGAGGACGCTGGTGAACCCCTTTGTCGCTTGCGCTCGAGAATGCCCAAAGAAAAAATAGCCGCGTATTTTGAATTCGTATCTCTTTCCTAGCTTGAATTTTTTTGATAATCAAAATTGACTCATGTATCATTTTTTCTTCCTTGGCTATAGGGCTTTGACCCCACCAGAAGTCTTGACCTTTCAACCTGAAGATCTCTGAGGTTTTCAAAGTTGAGGAGTGATATGATTTTCTATCAAAAATATTGCAATGTTTGTGATAATGTATCATCTTTTCATGCCACCCTACGGAAGCCTTCGTCACTATCTTTCTCCCATACATCTATATTTTAACAAATCTTTGTTCTCTGGAAACTTTCATATATCAGCTTCCTGAATTGGTCAAATCGATTTGGAACTTCTTGTAATTCTGCTCAATCTTGATCTTGCCTGATAATGATTTTGCTCATGCCAGTAAAAGCGCAATTCTCAGGAATTATACTTTCAAAGCTCTCTGGTTCTTAAACTTCATTTATGAATCACCAATTTCGGGCTATGTAAAAAATTCCCCTCGAGGAGTAATGAACAACCTTGGCGGAGAAATGATACTTTTCCATCCCAAGGGTACATATTTCTGACCTTGATTTGGTGCTTAAAAGCCATGATGGGACATATGGAGTAATTGTCTGGCTTAATCATTTCAACTAATCACAAATCAAGTAATCTATCATGATTATATCTATGATATCAATCACTTCTTGTATTAATCATCTCCTTTGAGCCACTGCTTTCCCACTGTATCCTTGATTTTTGGATCAAGTTGATTCCACAACTGTTTATCAATTATTTGTGACCCTTGAATTATCTCAATGGATGTTGAACTCAAACTATGATCTATTTTTTCTGGAGCCACAAACAGTCACTTTACAAAGCAACTATCAGTCAGCCACTGCACAAGTCAAATTCAACTGTTGTGATTACTGAGCTATATCAGGACTTTCCTATATCTTAAGATCTTATGGGTGTTTCAAGCTACCTTCCCTCAAAGTCTATTCTCCACCTATCCATCAATTCAGGGCTTTCATGCACCAATAAATCCTGGCAACACTCAATCATCATCACTTGCTCTGTGATCATGAACTGTTGGCTCTAGACCTAGATAGTAAGTGACTCATCTTCTGGCCAAAAGAAATATTCATTGACTTTGGCATTACCTGTCACTCCAGAAATGATGGATGCAATATTTTTACAAGTTAAACCTCACAAATTCCATTGACAGGTATCTCCACAAAACCTTATTGTATGGTGAAAAAAAAATTGTATTCTTTTGATATTCCAGCACCTGGTTCTTAGACATATACAAGCTTTTTTGGCTGCCATGTATAAACTGTGATCACTTTGAGAATTGTGTACAAGTGGTGCCGGAAAATATGCAACACCAGTTGACTCCACCGGCCCCAACTGGTGTACTAGGCGGAGTAAACTGGTGTCGTATCTTTTCCGGCACCACTTATACAACAGATCTTGTGGTTTCTGCCCACTTGTCACTCTGGAAACCCAGTTAAATTAGATTCATGTGAGCTTGCAAGGGAGAGATCATTGTGATTATGGCTTTAATGGGGTATAATGTACTTCAGAACCATGAACTGTGTGTTCAACTCAAACAAATTTTCCTTGTGTGAAATAGTAGATTCACTTCAAAAAAATTAGATACACTATCAGAACAAATCTACCATGATCCAAGAGGAAAAGAATCAAACAGAAGAAGGCACTCAGAAATATATTGAAGCCCTTGATATTGGGAGTCAGAACCAAATTGTGACCCTTGGGACTTTGTTACACTCCTAGACAATATCTGACCTTGTGATATGATAATGTACATAAATCAGAAATATAATTGAATCAGTTGATAAGTTTATAGTTTTGTCAATCTGATATTCTGTGAGGTGATGATAGCCAAACAGACCTGATATCTATTGAGATATTCAATTTCTTCCTCTCTTCCCATTACAGCCATTATATCAGTGTCAATTGTTCTTATGATGTAGTTCCATCTTTAGCTTCATTTTTAATTCTATTGATTGTACCATGTTCATTAAATCTTATCTTTCAGCACTCAAGTCTCCCAAAGGAAGAAGAAAAAGCACTTCATGCTTAATTGAGGAATATGATAAATAAAAATCCCATTGACATCTTCAAGGTCTAGTATCAAAGACCCCATCAGATAATAAAAACAAATATATAGAAATTATTCATCTTAAAGTCTATTTAACAAGACTCCAAAAACCCAAAACAGATGATCCATACAATCATTGAAAGCAACCTCTTACACCAACTTACAAGCCCAAGGAACGGGCACAGAGATAACAAGAACCCACGTAAAAACACTAAAACTACTCAATCAACATCCCTAACGTAGAGATCATAACATGAGGAGTCACATCCACATTGGGAATGAACCTCAATATGTGGGAAACCCTAGATTCTCAAGGGTTCTACAGTAAATGAGATCCTGTTTGTACCCATCACCCAATCTTTCCACACAAATCACTTATCAGTATCTTTGTATCATTGTCTGAAGATTATTTGCCTTCTAATCCGTTAGTTGGATTCATTCTGGTCATTTGATCTTGTTCTTGCAACATTGTTGGACAAGATCCCTCTTCTACAGGCAACCTACTATATACTCTAGCTATTGGGACCAGACCAGCTTAGGGCTTACCCACCATTGTCTGTAAACCTATGGTAAGCCTTTGTCATCAATAAAATCACGCTGAAGGATCCCAGTACTAACCTGCTCAATACCTTATGAGATTTATAGCTTATGCTTAAGCTATTTCCTACTCCTTGTAACCAGGGCAGAAGCTTGTCAGGACCTCAGGTTGAGTAAGTCTAGACTTTACCAACCCACATCAAGTAAAGCCACCCTAACATTATCACTGTATAAGAATGTTTACATTTTCACTATTTTTCCCTTCATTTATTCATTATTATTGTTTTATTTCTTGCACCACCAGGTGCTCTCTTTACCTTTTGACTTGTGTTATCTTTTACACTTACTGAGAACTCCAAAGTGTAACTACAGTATTGTGATGCCAAAATGAGTTCATTCCCATTGCCTGTAACATTTCTACATCTGCCTTACAACATTTTCGTAATACTGAGCCTTTGTTGTTATTGGGTATGTTTCACAGTGTCAAATATACAAAGAAGTTTTGTATTGAAATGCCAAAATAGCTTTTGCCTGAGGTAAACAATTCTGAAGGCCCCTAGGAAGTTCTGCAAAGTTGATGCTGAGGATTCACCATTTTGATTGAACTATATGATTCTCATATTTCTAAAGTCAGACTGTAACTAATTCCACTCCACCAAACACATTCAGCTCACTCCTCATCTCAACATTATACCTAGCATCTTATATATTGTATACAAGAGTCATCATCACTAGATTGTTTGGATAACTGCTTATGCAAAATGTCACCCAAACCTACCAGACACAGTCCGGCAGCGGTGATGAGACCCAATTTGAAGTCCTTTAAACTTGATCTCTCTCAAGTCCTGGAGTCCTCTGCATCTCCCACACCTTCCACTATCATCAATTTTGATGAAGCTGTCAATGGAGCTGAGGCTACCTCTAGCTCACCTATTATGAACCAAGCCCCTGAATCTCTGGCTGCTTCCATCCCACCACAAAAAGTATAACATTTTCTGGGCAGAATATATAAAGATTGATATACCAAAGTATTGAGTGGTCATCAAGAGTGCAAAAAATACAAAAAAAATGCATATTTTTCCTGGTGTTGAGACAATTCCCAATGTCACTTTGGTGCATCACAGTTTTGTGCAAAACTGCACTGCACTGGAAAATGCTCCATAGGTGTGTTGCTGTGGTGTGTAAGATGTGCAGTGTACTCAGAAGAGGGCAACCCCTGTGGTGATACATAGCACAGGGGGCGCAGTGCAGTGGCACAGGGGAATGTGCACATAAATGTAAATACCAGAACACAATAAGTATTGCAAGATTTGGCCTCAGACTATTGATACACATCAAAGACAACATGCAATTGTCACAAGGAAAAAAATCATAAGGCCAAAAGTGATTGAGGCAAAGTTCACACAAAGCATGGGGTATTCAGATATCTAAAGTTTCAGGATGGCATTTCTAAAGTGTATCTGCACATACCCAATATTGGTGATCAGACATTTGTGGACCAAACAGAATTTCAAGGTTATAGAATTCTAGATGCAAGGAAAGAAGATAAGGGAGTGGAAATATT